GTTGGCCCAGGATCGAACATTGTTTCGTTCTGCTGTGCATGGGGTCGCTATGAGTCGGTTCCGACTTGATGGCACCTGACAACAACAACAATGTATTTAGTACATCTATACCAAGAATTTAGCGTACTGGTTACAAATCAGCTGCTAATGTCACAATCAGTAGTTCAAAACTACCAGCTGTTCCGCAGGAGAAAGATGAGGCTTTCTGCTTCCATAAAGGCTTACAGCCTCAGAAACCCTGTACAGGGTCACTATGAGTCGGAACCAACTCCACGGCACATAACAACAACAACCTGGCCAACTGATTGGAAGAGACTCATATTTGTGCCCATTCCAAAGAAAGGTGACCCAACAGAATGCAGAAATCATCGGACAATATCATTATTATCACATGCAAGTAAAATTTTGCTAAAAGTAATACAAAAACGACTGTAACTGTACATTGACAGAGGACTTCCAGGGCGCTGGTTTCAAAAGAGGATGGGGAATGAGGGATATCATTGCTGATGTCAGATGAATCTTGAATGAAAGAAGAGAATATCATACAGATGTTTACCTGTGCTTTATTGACTATGCAAAGACTTTCAGTTGTGTGGATCATGATAAGCTATGAACAACATTGTGGCAAATGAGTATTCCAGAGCACTTAATTGTGCTCATGAGGAACCTGTACATAGACCAAAAGTCAGTCATTTGAACAGAACAAGGGAAAACCTAGTGGTTTAAAATTAGGAAAGGTGTATGACAGGGTTATATTTTTTCACATACTTATTCAATCTGTATGCTAAGCAAATAATCTGAGAAAAATGTGGCATCAGGGTTGGAGGAAGGCTCATTAACAACCTGTGATATGCAGATGATACAACCTTGCTTGCTGAAAGTGACAACGACTTAAAATTGTTACTGATGAAGATCAAAGACCACAGTCTTCAGTATGGGTTGCACCTCAATGTAAAGAAAGCAAAAATCCTCACCACTGGACCAATAAACAGCATCCAAATAAATGGAAAAAAGATTGAAGTTGTTAAAGACTTCATTTTGCTCAGATCAACCCTCAATACTCATGGAAGCAGCAGTCAAGAAATTAAATGACAAAATGTGTAGGCAAATCTGCTGCACAAGACCTCTTTAAATTGTTAAAAAGCAAAGGTGTTAATTTGAGGGCTAAGGTACGCCTGACCTAAGCCATGGTATTTTCAGTAATCTCACATACATGGGAATATCGGACAGTGAATAAAGAAGACTACAGAAGAATTTTTGCATTGGAGTTATGTGTTGGAGGTGAATATTAAAAATACCACAGACTGCCAAAAGAACAAACCAATCTGTGCTGAAAGAAGTACAGCCAGAGTGTTCCTTGGAGGCCAAGATGGCCAGACTTCATTTTTCATACTTCAGACATATTGTCAGGAGGTTCCAATCCCTGGAGAAGGATATCATGTTTGGTAAAGAATAACATGTTTGGCAAAATGCTCAGAGAAAAAGAGGAAGGCCCCAATGAGATGGATTGCCCCCATGGCAGCAGCAATGGGCTCGAACCTCAAATTGTGAGGTTGGTGAAGGACCAAGCAGTGTTTCCTTCTATTGTGCATAGGGTTGTTATGAGTAGATACTGACTTGATAGTATCTAACAACTTAGTAAAAGTACAAGTGGGCAGATTCTTTAAAACTCCTTTCTTTTCTAGGCACCATAACAGTTAAATAAAGTTCATATTTCATATAGAAGACTGAAGGTAGAAGTTTCAGAATCTCCTGGATTACTCTTGCCTTTGTTCATATTACATGAGGTCTGTGTCATGTGACGAAGTCTTTTACCCAGACTTTAAATTATAGCTTCTTTCTCATAAAGGGGCAGGGATGGGGTATGTTGAGTGATGGGGATGCAACATCATGAAGGACCACGACAAGAGCTCTGATTCCCTTGAAGACAAACGACCTCAAACCAACACAAACACGGGGAGCAACTCACCTTTTTGCACACACCGAGCATTCTTCATCTCAGGACTCCACTTTAGGCTGGAGCCACAGAGAAAGGTTACAGGACCTTCTAAGGACATGCCACCTGAACAGGAAAGAGTCACCTTCTGGCCCACTGGGTAGAAGAGCTTGTGGGGGTGGCTCTGTATGCCATCCATCAGTGCAGGTAAGATACAGGCTATTTCTAAATATAAAAGGAAGCAAAACACAAGGTCATTGCTTTTCAAAACCGACTTTTTTTAAATGACAGCTTTTGTTGGTACTGATGTCATTATTTTTCTTCACATCACAGAACAAGGAAGGACAGTTCACTTTTAGATGAGTTCCCTGAAAACACTTCTACCAGTGACTGGCACATGGTTAACCAATTGATGACTAAAAAACAAAACAGCTCCCATCCTCTACTCCTGCCCACTAAGCAATGCGACAACTTAAAATTGAGCCTTATAAACCCAGTCCTTAAAGCTGACCTACTGTTAGGACCAGATTTTTACTGTAGCCACCATTTCTCAGATCTATTGATGGCTCACCAGAATATTCCCATATTCTGCTACATTCGTGTATCATTAGCATATGTCCAATTGGAAATTTTACTACCTAGAATTTTTAAAGGATTGATTTTATTTAACCTTGAAACTATGTTGTTGTTTTTGTTGTTGTTAATTGCCATTGAGTCAGAGCCTACTCCTAGTGGCCTTGTATAGGGTTTCCAAGGAGTTACTGGTGGGTTTGAACCACCGACCTTGAAGTTAGAAGTCTAGTGCTTATCCTGCAGCACCACACCATGATTCTAAAAGTGTTCAATTCTCTTTTGTTTACCAGTTCAATTTTTCTTACTCAATTACAATCATTAGTTCAAGTCTTCTTAAAAAAACAGCAAAGGAAAAATGAGAAACATGCAAGTCCAGATTCATAACTAAAACAAAAAATCTTGATAATCTCCCTAATGGACTTTGAACAATATTCTACAAAATTCTGCACAATTTGTTTTCTTCTTGTTGTTTGTTAATAATTACCCATTTATATTTTTATATATCTTTTAACTTTTCTTGTTGTCATTGAGAATATACATAGCCAAAACACACAGCAATTCAACAATTTCTACAGGTACAATTCAATGACATTGATTCTACTGAACTATACAATCTTTCTCATGCTCCTACCAACTGGTCCTCAGAAACCCTATATCAGGTAGCTAGGTATCGAGCTGACTCAAGGGCATTTAACAATAACAAGAACATTACCGTAATTTCAGTACCTCCTAAGTTTGCTATCTAATTTTTTGAGGTGCTGTTTTGTTTAAATAGACTTCAGGAGATAATTTTGACTTAATGTTTAAAGATTATCTCTGGGCAATAATTTCAATAAATTTTTAGCTTCCAGGGTTCCAGAAAGTCAGTCTAGACTCCATGAGAAAAACTCTGCTCCATTTCTTAATCATTTTCAACAGAAAACACATTCATTCGTTCATAAAAGCATTTGTTGAGTGCCTTCATATTTCCAAAATGCTGCATGCTGCTGGGATCACAAGATATAAGTCACACATTCTGCCCTCAAAAAGCAAATCATCTATCATGGGATGTGTTTGGTTCTGGCCACATCATATTTGCTGATTTCAGATTCCCACTTCCACCAAAAACAAGTAGAAAAGCTGTACAAAGCTAAAAGAAAAACTATGTTTGAGGGCATCCAAGTGCTACCAAAGCAGTGGAAGCTTTTAGTATCAAGAGTCCAGACAGGGGAAACCTAAAGTAGAGATCACAAGATTTAATAATGCTATACTCCTTACATATTTAAATTTTCAAGGAAAAAAAAAAAAATCTGAAAAGCTACTGAATTGAGGAGAAGCTGTAGCTCATAGAGTAAACGCTGAATAGTGTTTTCAGTAGTCTCACAGGTTTAGTCAAAACCAAACTAAACCAAACCCATTATTGTCCAGTCCATTCCCACTCATAGCAACCCCATCAGACACCCCAGAGGGTTGTTAGCAAACCCCAGAGGGTTTCCAAACTGTAAATCTTTACAGAAGCAGGCTGTTCCATCTTCCTCTGACTGAGAGGCTGATGGGTACAATCTGCCAACCTCTTTATTAGCAGCTGAATACTTTAACTACTTTGGTACCAGGATGCCTTTGAATATCAGCCTGGATGCATACAAAAAGGGTGGTGGGGTGGGGCAGGATCACAGCTTGTCTATTACAATAGATCTGCTGAAAAGCAAAGAAAGAAAAAAAGAGATTATATAATTTCCAGGAGAAACCTAAGACTAACAACAGATTTCTCCCTAGAAAACAATCAAGTTAGAAGGCAATGTAGTAATGTCTTGCTTACTACAGTTAAAGGACATACCTGTTAAATGGGAATACTATTCCCAGTAAAACTATTCTTCAAAAATGAAGGTTAAATAAAGACAAAATAAAAGTTGCTCTTGCTGTTGTGTGCCGTTGAGTAGATTCCATCTCATCGTGACCCTACAGAACAGAGTAGAACTGCCCCCGAGGGTTTGCTAAACTGTACTCAGTACAGGAGTTGATTGCCAAGGCTTTCTTCCAAGGAGCCAATGGGTGGGTTTCAACCACCAACCTTTCAGTAACTGCCAAGTGCTTAACCTTTGGGCACGAGGACTCCTAATTAAAGAATGATGAGGGCTTATTCAGAGCACTCCTGAAACTTAGGCTCATGTCTGCCTCTCAGAAAAGAGAGGTCAAGACATGGGTCAGACGGTTAGTGGTTATCTTGACTCATTCTCTTCCAAATAGTTCTCTCGTCTTAAATTATATACTACACCCAAGGCCACTCACTCTGACAACGCATTTCTCCAACAAGCCACTTCAAATCTTCTCCACATCTGGCAACAGGATTTCCAATAATAGAATACCCTTTATTGCAAGTATATACTATGTTTTTCCCAACAGGAAACATGGAACCTTCATCCTAAGCAAAAATAAATGATAGAGAGATAGATGTGTCAATTTTGCATTAATAAACTGCAGCTTTATATATTTTTTTTTTACTAGAAAATGCACCATTTCAGAATCATCAGGCAACCTACACTTAAACAACTAATTGAGAAAATTGTCTATAAAGACATTGTCCCCAATGTAGTCCTCATCAGCAACACCAACATTATCCCAAATAAAACAAAGAGTCCTGGTGTGGCACTGTGTGTGGGATGAAGCACTGGGCCAAAAGGTTGGTTTGAACTGCAAAGTCAGCAGTTCAAATTCACCAGTCTCTCCTCAGAAACCCTATACAGGGTCGCTATGAGTCCGAATTGACTCAAAGGCACTAACAACAACAACATTAATAGCACTATATTATAATTTCTTGATTGCTTTCAAAATACCAAGCACTCCGTTTCACATTTTACTAAAGTTATTTTAATAGACACTTTGTTGTTGTTGTTGTTGTTATGTGCCATCGAGTCGGACACTGGCCAAGAAAATTCTTTTGTTGGCATTTTTTGGGGAAAAAAGACCGTGTTATTAGTTTTTTAAAACATATAAAGGTGTTGTTGTTGTTATGTGCCGTGGAGTCGGTTCCAACTCATAGCAACCCTACACGGGGTTTCTGACACTGAAATCTTTACGGGAGCAGACTGCCTCATCTTTCTCCAGAGGAGCAGCTGGTAATTTCGAACTGCTGACCTTGAGGCTCACAGCCCAATTCGTAACCACTACACTACCAGAGCATTTGGTAATAAACAAACAAACAAACAAAAAAAGCTGTCATAAAGTCGATTCCAACTCATGGAGACCCCACATGTGTCAGAGTAAAACTGTGCTCCACAGGGTTTCCATTGCATGATTTTTCAGAAGTAAATCAACAGGCCTTCCTTCCAAATTAGGCACCTTAGTTGTGCAGTGGCTTAAGCATTTGGCCTTCTAGTTGAAAGGTCGGCAATTTAAAACCACCAGTCAGTCACACGATGTCAGAAAGATGAGTCCGTGGGCTTTTGTAGAGATGAATAGCCTTGGAACCCTGTGCAGCAGCTGTACTCTGTCCTGAGGATCACTGGGACTTAGAACTGACTCAAAGGCAGAGGGCTTTCTTCTGCCACTTGTCTCAACAAAATTGCTCTGGCAGACTGAACTTGAACCTCCAATCTTTTGGTTATCAGTCAAGTTACCTGTTTGCACCACCTAATAAATACCAGTATGAACAATCAGAAATATTCAAATTCTATCATAGTGGTTACGAATCAGGCTGCAAACCGCAAGGTCAACAGTTCTAAACTACCAGCTGTTCTTCGGGAGAAAAATAAGACGTTCTGCATCTGTAAAGATTTACAGCCTCAGAAACCCTGTACAGGGTCACTATGAGTCAGAACTGACTCCATGGTACATCAACAACATCAGTATGTAAAAATTAAGTTTTTCACTGAGAACTGTAAAGGAAAGCATACTGTTAATCTTCTCATCCTGCTCTCCAAACTCCCCCAATTAAGGGCAGTGCTGCTGGAGGTGGTCAGGATCTAGGACATTTCTTTAGGCTGTACCATTAAATGGTGAGCTTTCATGGTGAAGCAAGGATTTGACGTCTTAGCCTGTGAGGAGATCCTCATGCTTTTGGGGCTCTCTTTTAGTTCCTTTCTTTACCTATCCGATTCTTTCAAATCCAAAGTGAGGGTGCGGAAATTCAGAACTAGAGAGGACTTATAACTGGTGCCTACACCAGCTCTGCTCCAGGTATTAAGACACAGTCTCTAGTGACTGCTGCTTCTCATTGTCAGTCTTGCTTTTCTCCTGGCTCAGCCTGGCTGCTCCATTCATGAGAGTGACAAGAAACAGAAGGCCCAGGTTCATGTTGGAATTTGAGGAAAATGGACAAAGAAGAACACTTGATCTACTTTGCTTTTAGCACCTACGCCTTTCTCAGCCTCTTTCTAACTCAACAGGTCCAGCCTTGGCTCTATAGCTAAACCACTTGCAGCAATTTTATAAAGCACAGACTCCCTGAGCTTCTAAATCAGAAACACAAGACAAGGAGCAGGCATCAATCTCTATTTTCAGTTCCTCAAGTGACTCAGATATAACCAGTCCCTAGGGCTGTTTCTAGAACCTATGGCTCCTAAAAGTGTTCTACATGTACTAGAGTTTGGAACAACTCATGGTTTTCTAAAGAGCCCTAGTGTGGAGCTGTAAGATAAGCACTAGACTTCTAACCACAAGGTAGACAATTCAAACCTACCAGCCACTCCTCAGAAACCTTGTACAGAGTCTCTATGCCTAGAAACCAACTACATGGCACACAACAACAACAACAAATATGCTTGCTTGGCCTCATTCTCTGAGCATAAGTTTCCCTCAGGAACTTCTGAACCTTGCTCAGGAACACAATTCCTTTGTGGACTATGGTGAATGTGGCAGAACAGTATGGATGTTAGAGATGCTAAGCTCATTCTCTTCTCCATCTATTTCTCTCTCTCTCTTACACTTTTTCCTCTTCTTTCCCCCTACCTCACCCCACAACATACACCACTTCTGTCTCCAAGAGGAGCTACATTTGGAGAAACTCAAGCAGACTCTTAATGAGTGCACATGATCAAAGGCTTGGAGTTTGGAAGAAAAAAAATTATTCATGAAGAAAGCAGGGCTGGCAACATTGAGAGTCCTGATAAACAATATCCACAGGGTAAGCCATGAAGAGACAGCACTGACATTTGGCTCCAAAGTCAAGGAATGAGATCAGCACTAATTCATATTGTCCGAAAGCAGGAAACTTCCCTGAGTGACAATGGGCACGGAAGAAGTGTTTCTTCCTGAAAAGGGAAATTACTCAAAGTACACTGACCTGTATCTTACCAGACACTGGTTAAATGTCTTATCTGCTCCAGAAATAAAATTAATATTCTACCTCAAGTCTTCTCACTTATGGGGGTAGAAAAAAAGGGCTCTTTGAATGGCAAGAATAAGAAAAGTTCTGTAAATTGAATAACTTGGTTTTAGATTTCTATTTTAATGTCCACAGTGAAAATGTTTAGTAACACTTTGGTATGATTACATTTCTAATTCACTGGGCAGCAATATTGATTTATCTTACCACAGAAGATATACTGCTTTCTACAAAATTCTAATCACCTTGGCCCAAAGAAGAAAAGTCACAAACTAAAAATCCTCACTACTAAAAGTAAAGTGTTCACAAAAAAAATTTTTTTTTTTGCATTATTTCACCATGGAAAAAAGGAAGCAGAGTATGGCATCAACAAAGAGATGAAATTTGAGTAAAGAGTAGATATATAGGAAAACAAAGAGTATCTTTCATAACCAACTTGGACAAATCCATCTTTCAAGGCAGGGGGTGATGGACAGAATTCTGTTGGAACCAATGACAGAGGAAAACAGTGTGGTTCAAGTAATCTGAAAGGAAAAGGAAACAAACATGCAATTAATATGATTGCTTTCCACAGTTTAGTAAATATTTTACAGTACAGTGATTTTTTCATTCGTATCTGAAGAGACTATTCATGAAATAGTAACTTTGATGTGATATTTTTTGTCATTTACAGAACCAAATACCTTATCACATCTATGATAGAAAACTCAAACATAAAGTCAAGTTATAAAAAATCTTAAACAGTTCCTAAGTCAGTAATATGAAAAACAGACAAGAATCAAAGAGAAATAAATAATTGCCATGGATAACACACTTACTTTACGTGACTTCTGAAAGTCAACTGACTCAAAAGTATTCTCTTGATCACTTTGTCTGAAATTCCCTTAACACTAAATGAATCCATTCCTCAAAATAAACAAATTAGTGTTAGTGATACTGTGAGTGTTCCAAATAATAAAAACTAGTTTTAATGGAACAGTTACAATGTCTATGCACCATGGGAGTGCCTCTGGTTGTGTGCCATGGAGTCAATTTTGATTCACAGTGATGGTACAGATCAAAGTAGAACTGCCCCTCAAGGTTTCCTAGGCTGTAGTCTTTAAGGAAGCAGATCACCTGGTGTTTTCTCACACACACACGAAAAGAAAACACTGGTGAGCTCAAACTGCCAACTTTTCAGCTAGCAGCTGAGCACTTAACCACTCCAACACCAGAGCTCCTTGGAAAGCACTCTACATTAGCTCAATCCATATTTACATAAAATAGCCCTATAGGATTCAGGGAGATGTGAAAGCCTCACAAAATGTGAATAACTTGCTCAAGGTTATAAACTAACAAAACCAGGGATGGATTCAAGCTGAGTGGGTTAGCTTCCTAAAATCATGCTTTTCCTACCTTTCATAAGACAATGAGGGAAAACAAAGAGTCACAGAATGTCTACGTTTTTTTAGACTATGTATGACTGCAGATACCAGATCCTTTGGTGAAAGCAAGTTTTAATACAGTTTAGGGCAGGAATCCTAGGCCTAAGAGGAAGATGAGGGAAGAGAATCCCTAAGACCATGTCACTGATGGAAAATTTTTACACTCCTGTCACCATAACTATCTCTAAGGAGAGCAAGAATCACAATAATGCAAATGTTGGCACCCACAGTCATGCAATGACTTTCAAGGAACTCTGAGGTCAATATATCACCAGAATTACCACTGTTGTTGTTGTTGTTGTCAGGTGCCATCCAGTCGGAACTGACTCATAGCGACCCCATGCACAGCAGAATGAAACAATGTCCAATCCTGGGCCAACCTCACTACCGCTGCCACACTTGACACCATCAATGATGCCACCTGGCCAATCCATCTCATTAGGGGTCTTCCTCTTTTTCTCTGACCCTCCACCTTACCCAGCATGACATCCTTCTCCAGCGACTGTTCTCTCTGGACAATGTGTCCAAAGTATGAGAGATGAAGCTTAGCCATCTTGGCCTCCAAGGAGCACTCTGGCTACACCTCTTCCAGAACAGATCTATTGGTTCTTTTGGCAGTCCATGGCACTTTCAGTATTCTTCTCAAACACCACAACTCAAAAGTATCAATTCTTCTACGATCTTCCTTATTCACTGTTCAGCTTTCGCATCCATATGAATTATTGAAAATACCATGGCTTGGGTCAGGCGCACCTTAGTCCTCAAGCTGACATCTCTGCTCTTCAATACTTTAAAATGTTCCTGTGCAGCAGATTTGCCTAATGCAATACGTCGTCTGATCTCTTGATTACTGCTTCCACCAGTTTTGATAGTTGATCCAAGAAGAATGAAGTCCTTGACAACTTCAATCTTTTCTCCATTGATAAGAATTATCAATAAAGATAGGAAATCTGAGGGAAAACTCTGTTGTTGCTGCTGTTGTTGTTGTTATTGTTAAGATGCCATTGAGTCAGTTCCGACTCATAGGGACCCAAGAAGCAGCTGGTGAGTTTGAACTGCTGACCTTGCTGTCCAGAGCTTTACAGCTTACTGGTTTTTCCTGTTTGTATAAAGAATATTTCCACTCCATAAAGAATATTTCCATTCCACTAAGGGTCCTAGAGTGGCATTGTAGGATTAGCAGCAGACTACTAGGTCAAAAAGTCAGTGGTTCAAACCCACCAGTTGCTTCTCAGAAAGCCTATACAGAATTGCTATGAGTCAGAACCAACTCAACAACACTTAGCCACAGCAACAGTGTGTGGTGCTGTAGGATAAGCACTGGGCTGCTAACCTAAAGAATAGCAGTTCAAACCCACCAGCTGCTCCTCAGAAACTCTCTACAGGATCACTATGAGTGAGAACTGACTCAAGTGTACTTAACAACAATAACAACAATCGCCAAAAAGTGAAATTCCTTTTGGCAAAGGTATTTTACAAGGTGCTCCCTTTTCAAGTTTAGGCTCAATTCCCTTCCTTTTTGTGTCTAACAGCAGAGGAAATACACTCACTTGGTCTGCGACCAGAAACCTACACTGAGACTGCCTCAGCCTCCTTGAAGCCCAGCAGTCTCTTCCCACAGTAACCCCACCTTTGCCAGCTTCCCCAGTCAAGAAATATTGTCAATTGCCAGATTTAGAAGAATCGAAGACATTGCAACAAGACATCCCACACCCACCCCTATGTTTTAACCAAATTACCAAATGCCCCACCTCTTTCTTCAATTCAAATAGCTTTCAAACTATCTTATTTGAAATTTTTGCCAAATCCCTGAAGAAGTTGATAAAGACAGTGTACTTTAAAAAAAATAATAAAAAAGTGGAACTTGGCATAAAGAATTCTGACCTAGAGGTTGGCCTCATCAATTTATCTTTTTTAAGACAGCTTTTACAAGGTGTGGCAAACTATTGGGCTAATCATCACCTGGGTATAATCAAATAATAGCAATAATAACAGTGGTATATCTGGAGAAAAAAAAAAGAATCACTAGCTAACATTATTGAGCGTTTACTCTGTACCAGGCAGTATACCAAACACTTAACTTCTTTAATCCTGGTACCTTCCTATATTCATTGTATCTACTACTGTTCTCACTTTAGAAGTATGGCAAGTCACATGCTCAGGGTCACATAGCAAGCAGGTGGCAGAGCCTGTCCGGTGGCTGCTGCTCTGACCCAGGAAGCTGGACTGCCTCCCAGGTACAGACTTTATTACACTGGCTCAAGAGAATTTCCTTCCATCTCCTGATGCCAATGCTAAGAGGTAAAGCAGTCACTGATAAAAATAGCCATTTAACTCTTAAATGTGTTCAATAGCAGCATCCACGTAGCGCAGGTTTACTGCACTGTGTCCCACATAATTGCCAGGAGCTCTGGTTTCCATTACCGAAAATGCTCCAACTCCTTGTCTTCGCACTGCCTGCTTTCTGATGTTTCTCCAATACACAATTTTCCTCCACCACTGGGAGGTGGGTTATTGCATTCTCGGCTCCTTGCTTTCTTCCCTTGAACACAGAGGCTCCAAGGAGACCAGCAGCTCCAACCTCCGTCAACCCCTCCTGTAAGAAAATCGAGGTTCTTTAGTAAGTGCTTGGAAAAGAGGATTCCAGCAGGTATTTCTAAGCTTCCTGCTAAGGTGTCTGGTGGAGAGAAGAAATACTTCAGAGATGCATTACCTTTATTCTGTTCCCTGGTGTTTTCTAGATTAGCCAGGCCATCTCTGCACACATCTATGTTAAGTCTGCATTGGTGCCCTTTGAGCAATAATACAACTCTTTCCAAGCACTGTAATGAACATTGTATAATTTATTGACCTCTCACAACAATGGATTGAGGCGAGCAGGACATCTGTTATCATTCCCATTTAAGAGATGAGGAAACTAACAGTAAATAACCAATTGCCATGACCAACATTGGAATAGGAGCACTGGTGGCACTGTATGTTAAGCACTGGATTGCAAGCCACAAGGTCAGGAGTTCAAACCTACCAGCCTCTCTGCAAGAAAAAGATGAGGCTTTCTGCTTTCATAAAGATTTACAGCCTGGAAAACTCTACATAGGGTTGTTGTGAGTCAAAACCAATTTGACAGTATACATAACAGCAATAACAACACAATAAGATTTTAATAGCTGACAAGAGACAGATCTGTCTGTAAGCCTAGACTTCCATCTGACTAACCCCAGGGTCTTCTCATCACCCAACAGTCTCTCAATAAGGTGAATTCCTATTATTTTAGCAATGACCAAGCACAGAAAAACATACTCTACTGGGCACTACCGTGCTGCTAACTCGAGGCCTAGTACTATACAAAATGAGGAACTATCTAAGGAAGAGGAATGTTTTTAAATCACCTTTTTACCTCCTTTCTTCAATCTATAGACATCTTTCTCTGATCTACAGATACTTCCTCAATTCCTTTGTCCTAAGGACTTTGTCCTAAGGACCTATTCAATACCCCAGAGTTCTAGTAATTCTCCCTCTTCTACCCTGGGGGTAACTCAAACTAAACCTTTTGCTGTCATACCCATTCCAACCCATAGAAACCCTATAGGACAGAGAAGAATTACCCCGTAGGGTTTGTCCGGTTGTAAGTAGATTGCCACATCCTTCTCCTGCAAAGTGGCTAGTTAGTTCAAGCCAAGATCTTAAGCACTGCACAACCAGGGCTCCTTTGTTTTGGTGGGACAGATAGAGAAGTGGGCTTCCCAGTCCAGAGACCAAGTGAAGCTGAGTCTCCAGTCTCTTGGAGCAGGAGACTGGTTTTCAGAACAAGCCCTATGAGCATTTGTTTATCTACTTGAGCAAGACAGAGGCCAAGGGGCCACATGGCCAAGACCGAGTGTGCCTACTGTTATATCTGAGAAGAGGTGTTTCTGACCAGAGAAATGCTACATACTGAGATGTTTCTGAATCTGAATTGCACCGTGTTAACTTCCCTAATAAGTACCATAATCTTGAGTATAGTTTGTGATTTGGTGTCATCATTGCAATGGATTATGGAGTCCAGCAGAGAAGCAGAGTTCCATGGGAGGGATGGTTGGTGTCAGAATAGGATAAAGAAAGTTGAAAGTTGGTGACGTGTCTGACCTCTGACTCATAGGAATTGGCCTTGGGCTGATGTGGAGTTTGATTCTCCTTCTTCCTTGTAGAGTCAGAGGAAGTCAGACACCTTCTCCGTGCCAGTTTTCACTACCCAAGATGTGCCGTGGAATTGGTGCCAACTCATAGCAATGCTATATAGGATTTCTGAGGCTACCAATCTTTATGGGAGCAGAAAGCCTCATTTTTCTCTTGTGGAGCAGCTGGTCAATTCAAACTGCTGATCATGAGGTTAGAAGCCCAACTTGTAACCCCTAAGCTATCAGAGGCCCTTAGGGTATCAATGGTGGTGGTGGTTATGTGCTGGGTTGTCAGTTCCAACTTATAGCAACCCTATATAGAGTTTCCGAGGCTGTAAATCTTTACAGGAGCAGAAAGCTTCCTCTTTCTCCCACGAAACAGCTCGTCATTTTGAATTGCTGACCTTAAGGTTAGCAGCCCTAGTCATTTGTTGTTGTTGTTTTTGTCAGGTGCTATCGAGTCGGAACCGACTCATAGCGACCCCATGCACAGCAGAACGAAACAATGTTCGATCTTGGGCCAACCTCACTACCGCTGCCACACTTGAGTCCATCAATGATGCCACCTGGCTGATCCATCTCGTTGGGGGTCTTCCTCTTTTTCTCTGACCCTCCACCCTACCCAGCATGACATCCTTCTCCAACGATCGTTTCCTCTGGACAATATGTCCAAAGTAGGAGAGACGAAGCTTAGCCATCCTGGCCTCCAAGGAGCACTCTGGCTGCACTTCTTCCAAAACAGATCTATTGGTTCTTTTGGCAGTCCATGGCACTTTCACTATTCTCCTCCAACACCACAACTCAAAGGCATCAATTCTTCTACGATCCTCCTTATTCACTGTCCAGCTTTCGCATTCATATGAGGCTATTGAAAACACAACGGCCTGGGACAGGCGCACCCTAGTCCTCAAGCTGACATCTCTGCTCTTCAACACTTTAAAAAGTTCCTGTGCAGCAGATTTGCCCAATGCAATACGTCGTCTGATCTCTTGACTGCTACTTCCGCGAGTGTTGACAGTTGATCCAAGAAGAATAAAGTCCTTGACAACTTCAATCTTTTCATAACCACTATGAAATAATGGGTTAAAATAGTGTGAGTGCTATCCCAACACTTACCAATTAGGGGTACTTTCATTTTAACAAATAACTGGAATTCCAAGTAATAAAAGAATAAATCACAACACAGATAAGACATTTAGATAATATTTGGGGAGATATTTAGGAACAAGAATGCCTTCCTGATGCTTGTCTATAAGCAGCAATAATTCAGTCATGTATTCATTAGTTAAATATTTAGTTAGTGACTTCTCTAAATGCAGCTCTATGTTATGCACTGGTAGTAAAGAAAGGCATTAAACAGCCCTGAAGAAATAAGTTTTCTAGTGGAGAGGAGCATATAAATATATGTGTAAACAAATATGTATACTTAAATAAGCATATGTGTATTTCAATCATATTTTACCTACTCATAAAGTCAATTTCACATTGCCCTGTACTAAGTACTTGAAACATCAAACACATGGTTGAGCACATGGAAGTTGTTCAACAAATATTTGTGAATGATTAATTTATTTTATATAATACAAAATAGAAACATAAATGCTTCAGAGAGTTTGCCATTGAACAGTTGGGCAATGCAAACACAAGCTCTAGAGACCTATGATAGGACAAAACCTTAATGAAATGACTATGAAAGGACAGAAGATATTTTAGGGATAGTTCTGTTTTACTGAAGAAGAGAGAGCAAAGAGCACGGTGGTTTGCTCAAACAGGAAAATAGAGAGACAGCAAAGTGCCTTGACCACAGTAGCTGTACTACGAAAGTGATGAAAGAGAGAAACACTGAATTCAAACACCCAGTGAGACTTTCATCTCTCCATACACAATGGTGCAGAATGTCAGGGGCCACAGAGAACAGGCAATTCCCATCCCAACATGTGCAGCCTGATGAGAGACAATCCAGTGCACTGACCTGCTTGATCCTCCACGAGGTCGCCTTTCTCACATGCTGCACCAAATGTGTATGGCTTGCAATGGCATTGACATTGGGTCCCCTCAACAGTGGCCATGCCACCATTTTGACAAGGCTGGCAATGGCAAGGGTCAAATTCATCCAGGTACTCCTCCAGGGCCCGCTTCAGGTAGAGTCTCTTCACAGAAGCGCAGGGCACTTCCTTTACCAGCTCATATAAAGGAGTCAGCTACAAAGAGAAAGCAATCCATGTTTTAAGCACCAATAGTCACCTTTTGACTTGTAGGCTCAATTCATACTAAACCAAAACAGAAAGCACGTGAATGTTAATTCTTATTGTTTTTTGTTCAAATAAAAAAGAAAGTAATCCACTCTCTGCAACAAAATCAAAACAAACATAGGGAAATTTTTAATATCTGCTGCCATCAAATCAACTCCAAATCATACAGGAATGCTGTGGGGCAGAGTAGAACTGTTCCTTAGAGTTTCAGAGACCTCAAATTCTTATGGGAGCAGCCTTCATCTTTTTTCCCGCAGAGCAGTTGGTGGGTTTGAACTGCAGACCTTGAGGTTAGCAGCCCAAAGAAAAAGGAATGCATCTAAATTCCAGCAGAGAAGCAAGTGCAATTAAACTAAAGAACACATGTTGTTAACTCTGAGAAGCCTAGCATATTGTTCTGGGGACACGATGGACTCTCCCCTCCTGGAGAAATTTTAAAACAGATAGACAGTGGATTTTTTTGTGTTGGTTATTTCAGATGCAAGACATCTTTGAATTCATAGATGTGCTGAGAAAGATGTAACAGCTTACTCTCCCAGGAGCAAAGAAGCTCTGGTTTACAGTGTTTACCAATTACTGTGGTACAACTGTTTTCACCAGGACTAAGTTCAGGCTACTGCCACAATGTTACTAAACACAGAGTTGGGAGATCTATACCACTAGCTCAAGAGAGGCCGAATGAGCCAAGTCAACTGCAGCACACCAATGCAAGTTGTTGCTATTGTTAAGTGCCATTGAGTCAGCTCTGACTCATGGTGACCTACATAGATAGGATTTTCCAAGGAGCGCCTGGTAGGTATGAAGCACCAACATTGCAGTTAGCAGTCCAGTGCCTATCCTAAAGTGCCAAATCAGGATACCACTGTGAGTAATGGAAATAAATTCAGGGAGTACAGTTTCCTATATCTCTGCCCAAGATCTCCTGAATAGCATGACTTCGCATAGTTATATACTTGCACTCTATCTTTTCTTTGCTCCTTAACTCCCTGGATATGATAGTTAGTCTTGTATGGAAAAAGATACATTTGAGAATGGGAAAAAATGACCCTTTTCCCCTAACAATTTAGAATTTTTAAAGGTTTACATGGGACATTGACAAGTGATGTAGACCACATTGAATACTAAGACTTACAGATAAAACTTCTCAGGAAAATTCTGGCTCCCACCCTTGCCCTACTTTGGAGGCAAGTGTGTGCAATATTGTATTAGGAGGGTGTTTAAGGAGTTATCGAAATTTTTGAGTTTATAAAAAAATGTCCACAACTGTTTATCTCTGAAAGTCAGACTCTACCTAGGTAGGACATGACTTGACTCTCCCAGTAGGGAATCAATCATATATAATCTGTTCTACTGTGATGCTTTTCTGAAAATGTAAAGTTGTTCATTTGTGATTATAACAGAAATATGACTTTGTCCACAAAAACAGTAGGTAAAGACAGAAAACTACACAGCTGAGCTGAGAATATACCAACTGCAAATGCACATACACCTCAAACATCTATATAGTTCACAGCTTGAATTATAAATCACCCCATCCATATCCAGTGTTATAATTTTCTGTTTTCAAGTTATTCTCTTTCCATCACTTTATAATAATTTGTAAACTGTATCCCTTCCATTATCCATTTTCACAAGCAAGATTCAGCTCTTTTTCAAGGTAATAGATCATTGCAATATTTGTATATTGTAATATAAATTGACATGTATAAAACAATGCTACTGTTTAATTGGAGCTTATCTCTTTTAAGGGTCTGAGGGTGGGGTGAATAGTTAACACACAAGGCTACTAACTAAATGGTTAGAGATTCAAGTCTACTCAAAGGTGTCTTAAAAAAATTAATGAAGGACCTGGAAATCTGCTTCTGAAAAACAAGCCACTGAAAAATCAGAGCACAGTTTTACTCTGACACAAAAGGGGTCACCATTAGTAAGAGTTAAGTCAAAGGCAATACATAATGGTACTAGTACTATAGTTTTATGCAGAAATGTTTTTTAGTGTTGTGCCCGTCTCATTTTTCCCATAAACCCTAGTTTTTACTGTGCAATTTTGCTTACCACAGTATTTAGGGGACATGTATGTTGCATTCTAGAAGAACAACTGGATCAGTGAAGAATCCAAAAATTTTCCCAGTCAAATTAGATCTTAATTTGCATTATTTTAAAACCCTGCAAGCCATTGGTCACAGGAATAATGCAAATTAAGATAGACCTAATGAGGTGATCTAACAGATATAATGAAGTCCTGGTGTGGCACTGTAGGATAAGCACTGGACTACTAACCACAAGGTTGGTTGTTCAAACCCTCCAGTCGCTCCATAGAAACCCTATACAGGGTTGCTATGAGTTGGAACAAATTTAATGGTACTTAACAACAAGAACAACAGATGTAACAGATATTTTTGTTGTTAGATGCCATCAAGTTGGTTCCAACTCATAACAGCACTGTATACAATAGAATGAAACGGCCCAGTCCTGCACCTTCCTCATAATTTTAATATATTTGAGCCCATTGTTAGAGTCATTGTATCAACTCATCAAGTTGGGAGTCTTTCTCTTTTTCACTTACCCTCTACTTTACCAAATATGATATCCTTTTTGAGGAACTGGTACCTTCTGGTAACAAGTACAAAGTACATGAGATGAAATCTCACCGTCTTCACTTCCAAGAAACATTTTGAATCTACTTCTTCTAAGACAGATTTGTTTGTTTTTCTGGCAGTCCATGGTACTTTCAATATTCTTTGAAAATACCATACTTCAAATGTAACAATGTTGTTGTTGTTAAGTGCCATCGAGTTAATTCCGACCCATTGTGACGCTGTATAGGGTTTCCAAGGAGCAGCTAGTGAGCTTGAGCCACCAACCTTGCAGTTCAAACGACTTTGCAGTCTGACTCATTAGCCCACAGCGCCACACCAGGACTCCAAATGTAACAATGTTGTTGTTGTTGTTGTTATGTGCCGTGGAGTCATTTCCGACTCACAGCAACCCTGTATAGCATTTCCGAGGCTGTAAATCTTTATGGGAGCAGAAAGCCTCATCTTTCTCCTGCAGAATAGCTAGTAGTTTTGAACTGTGAGATTAGCAGCTTGATTCGTAGCTACTACGCTACCAGAGCTCCTGAATGTAACAATAAACAAACTTAAACTCTTTTACTGGCATAAATCTAAAACTTCTTTGAATTTGGGACCAAAAATCAAGTAAATTTAGGTCAAAAGTTTTAAAATGCTAATTTTATCATTAATTGCTTTGGGTGGGTTGTTGTTAGGTAAATTGTTTTATATCTTGACTCATTCTTCCATGAACATTGATTGTGGATCCAAGTCAAATGAAATCTTGACAACTTCAATTTTTTCTCTGTTTATTATGGTGTGGTTTATTGGCTCAATTGTGAGAATTGTTGTTTTCGCTATATTGAGGTAATAAATACTGAAGGTTGTTGTTGT